CAGTTTCCGTCTGTGACTCACGTGATCCACTAGCAGCGGATAGGTACCTCTTCTCTAGCTCCATCACTTGTGTCCAATGCAGCAACTCTGCATTCGGGTCGTCCACAGGAGTGATTCGTAGAATTCGGAGCTCACGAGCTCTTCCACTGCCATGAGCGAAAATTAGACACAGTGTTATGATCTTATTACACGACAACAGTCAAATCAACGTCACTGACAGATCAACGGCGTCCCAGCTCTTATCCATATTCAGCTTCCCTTCCACATGCACAAGGTCTCCCAGCGCTACTGGTGCACGGACATTCTCCCCCCATAACACCGTCTTCACGAGTGCAGTACCGTCGTCAATCAAAATTTCGACTGATACGTATCATCAGTTAGCAGCTGATATTACTTTTGGACTTCTAGGTCTCACCTCGATCCGCTCGCTCCACGGTGGAAATGACCACTCCAATACACTGGGCTTTTGTCAGCAGACGTGCTCTCCAGAGTCCTGACATCTTGAATCGCCACGCATGACTTGCTGGGAGACCTCCGAACTCGACTAAATCACGACCCACGTGCACACCCAAAAGCTTCACGAAGCTCTAAGAAGCAGAGAAAATGTAAGAAAGAAAGGAATTTCACGTGTGTGATGGCGAAAACGCCTTCGTACCCATGTCAACGGATCCTTTCCAAGTTCATGCATGTTTGGGGTATCTAAAAGCGAATGTAATTTCAGGTTAATTGATGGGAAACAACATCGTAGTCAATCCTACCCTTGGACGAGCGACTCCGTGTATCACTCAAGTCGATAGTACACTTTGTCGCTGGACTTCGGTCTGCACCATTCATATTGAAGGCCGTAAATATGTATAGTAATATGAGTCGATCAGTCACTCGTCTGCACTATACCGTGTAAATGTGAGTGAACAGTAGACTTTGCACCGGTGGTACACAAAGTGATAATACAAAAGAAAATAATACCTGAGAGTCGCTGCCGCCTCCCGTTACGCTCGACAAGGGACACTTTAACTGCCAATTGATGAAGTAATGGAGCTAAATGACGCGACCATCGATAACAGTATATGAGTGCGACTGTAGAGTGAAGCGACTCCACGAGGAAAAACGAGGTGATCACTAATCTGCTTGAAAATAGTTCGAAGGGCTATGGCAAAAGGTTGGAGCCCATGGGGTTTTGAGTAAGTGATTAGTATCGCTAGCGAGTGCTGGGGCTTTTTCAAAGAATCATGAAGTAATACATGCACATAGTTTTTGCGAGATGGGACATAAGGTGTTGTTATGCACAGCTAATGCATGTCTTAGGAGAGCAAGCTGTGGAATTTGCCCTTCCATGCAAATAATTCATCCCGGAGAACTAAATCGAGGTCAGAATGATTGGTGGCTGATGTCTAGATTGTGCTTTGCGTGTTTAAGAAATGCAAGTGCTGATGAACTGTTTTGTGTCATAGCTACTCGTTGATGATGTTGATGTGTGTAAGAGACGAGTATACGAAAGGGAGACAGGGACGATTATGCCCCATTTGCACCTTCAACCTTGAAGCGTGGCGGACGAGATATAAAGGACATGTGACAAGAGAAATTGGGGAAGATTTTCATCTGTCACCGAAAGACCATACATTTCTTTTATATTATTCAATCCCTACGCATTTACCTCACTTCTCATGTACCGTTTGTAAAAGGAGCAAGACTTTCGGTGCTGCTACGAGTCGAGCATTTGCTCATTCTCCTTCGACTCTACGTGCCCTTGATCGCTTTTGAGCTAATCGTGTGTGAATGTTGTACGTTTGTACGGAAGTAATGCACTCTGGATGCGGGCTCGATTGGTGACTGGATCAAAGTCTAACATCCATCATGCCTATCTACCTGAAAGGAGGATGCTGGTAACATCGGACCTCGTACGGCATGTATGGTACACCTGGTATCATATGCAGACACACAGGCAGACAAAAAGCGGTTGTTGACAAATTTGGAATCCACTTTGAGCACAGTCGACGACAGCTTCACTCGTTGAACTTGCAATGAAAAAATAGCCACAGCGATGGCAGTGCTAGTAAGTTCAGCAGCCAAATGTCCAGAGCTGGTTCGTCATTATACGGTGACCTGGTGACAGAATATGGCAATGTGATAATGACAAATTGTATCACGAAAATGATCTTTGGCAACGTAGCCGTGATTGCTGCAAAAGCGATGTTATGAAGACGAAAAATTCGAAAATGGACGCGCGTAGTTTATCATTTACAGCACCAGCGTTGACGTGCGCAAGGATACAAATGCAGCATCAAGTTTCGTATCCGCCGCAAACACCGATCCGGTAAGTGCTGCAGAGAATCCCATCGACTCTCTTTGATATGAGCAGTACATCAAACTACTGTTCTATTCTCCATCCGTCATGCTATGGTATGGCTTCATAATTGTAAATGATGACTTCTCTAACAATGGCGGCCTTGTGCTAGAATCGTTTCGCTGACTTCTTTTACATTGCTCATCATGTATGCTTGTCGACATCATGCCATGCCCTTACAAAAATTAAATGTCATCGAAAGATCTCATCATCGAGTGAGAGGTTTGTCGAACATTTAGCCTCTTGTTTTGACCGAGGGGTCACCGTCGTGACCTTATCGCGTCAGCATTCACACCTTATCTGGACCATGCATTTAACATTCTGCCACCCACACCAAAGCGCGGGTCTGCAACACGTTTCCTTTTCAGTTTACTTCTTTGTTAACGATCCAGACATCTGCAGATTTGTTGGATAGCTTCGATGCGCTACCGCTCTTTTTGTGACAGCGCTTCAGAATTAGCTACAGCGGTCAACTTGGTTCAGCTTTTCCGTCATTCCAGTCCTAAAAACTACTCATTAAAACTAAAGAGAATATATTATTGAAAGATGGTCGTGAGGGCGTATTTACGGTCGCGCAAAGCGTCCTTTCGCATGAAAGCAGCTAAATTCACAGAGTCTCCACTTGGCGTAATTAAATGAGCACGCCATTGGGTAATAAATGGAACTCGATAGTTGACCAGTTTAAAGCCATGTGATACTTTCTTGTACAGTTGCTCACTGAGCACTCTATGCGTCACCCGTACATCATCTGATCGTGTAATTCTCCTAACGCGCCCTTAAATTTGACGTGACTCAGCTGGCCTGTAAATGCAATGCAAGTACTAGCCATTGCCGATACCTCGACACTTCAAGCTAGATCCAACATTTCAGCGCATGATTTTTGAACGGTCTCGTTAGACTGAGGTAGGTGCGTTTCCGTCAGTTGTACATGGCTTTGCATGATACCACTGCCAACTAAACTAGATAATCTTGTAGCGACCTAATTTTGTCATCTATTTACCCGAAACGTTTTAAGATAAACATCGGAAAGCCTTGTATGTGAATGGCAAGCAGTCTAAATGTTTGCATCAGCGGTGCTTGAACAGCGCCATTCATATTAATAACCATGGCAAGTGAAGCGTCTCGAACTCTAAGGTTGATGAAGGTAATGCAGGTAAGCTGCATGGCTAATATAACCGAGCGTGCATGCAAACATTTGGATAGAATGGTACAAGTGGCGGCAAGTTACACATGTGATGGAATCGAGTCATAACGCGTAAGCATCACGTTCAAGTCTTCACCAATAATGCCTCTCCGACTTGCATTGCCAATCGTCAAATGAGATGCTTCAGAAGTTTACGAATTTTATCTTCGTTGTGGGAATGTAGCTCGCCACGATGTCAGGTGAGTCGCTCGTCATCATTAGATCCACATCGCAGCACGATACCTAAACTCGCCAGACACAGTCGCATTTGCTGCTTGTATCGATCAACGTCTTTTTAAGACAGAACTAGTCATTTTCTTCGAACAAATTCTCTCCGTAGGAATTGAGGCGTAAATTCTGGATAGCTTTAACGGTTTCAGACTTTTACTATTTAGCATACCCGATTGACCCGTAATCTACCTGGTCTCGCTTAAGTAAAGACGGGTATCGATACGCGCCAAGTACACAAGCTGTTCCAGACCAACCAGATCCAACAAAAGTAGCCTTGAGACCATCCCAACACCAACACCACTGGTGTAATGCCATCGTGACAACAGTAAGTATTTCGTAGAGTGACTGATAGACCACCCGGGCTTTCAAACGGGACCTGCTCGATCTTTTGTTGAATGAACAGGTGGGCATCTTGTTCCGTCTCCTACCGTTGCTCGATAGAAGCGAGCATTTTTGGTCCCCCACCTTTGCTTGAAAGTTTTCAAAGTCTCTTATTCGTAAAGAAATCAGAGGTTGGACAACGAAAAGTGGTTGTGCCTCTATTACATCGCAGACGTTCGTTGTTAATGAGGGCATCGACCTTCGATTTGCTGTCTATAGTGATGATTCGTCCCCCTTGCTCATTTCGGACTCTCCAGTACCTTACAGCTCATCCCACATGCAGGATTGTTGCTCTCAATGCGCTTTGAAACTCGTTCAGACGCTTTTGTAAGGCTCTTTCGGCACCATGATCTCGTGGACAAAAGACTCGATCGCTGCGCCCAGTCACAAAGGCTCAACTCGGTCTCATTAACATTAGAGATCTGGACATACCTGAAAGACAAGAGACGAAAGACGCGAAATACCGTGAATCCCTCGTATTAGTTCCAGCACCCAATGCTTTTGTCGACTTAAAAGTCATTCGCTTGGGTTTGGGTCCGTGACATTCTCCCATTCTCTTTGGTCTGGGCAATGTCCACAAAGTCTCGCAACAAATAGATCCAGAACTGAGTCGTATTTTTGTATCCGGCCAAAGTCACAGATAGCTCTCAAACAAGGGACATCGAGCTTGCGACTCCAGAATACCGTCAAGTCCCTCGTCCCTCACTGGCTTTTATCTCAACTCGAACTCCCTCTTTTGGTCAATTCAGAGCAGTACGACCGACCTCTCTGCCAGAATTCCGCTAACAGACCACGTCCAGGCTCTCTCTCTCTCTCTCCTCTCCACTCTTCTATCTCTCGGTCTGTCCCTCGCTCGACGTCATGGTGCTCACTGACAAGCAGCGACAGGATCTGTACGTGCGTCTGTCTGTCTGTCTGTCTCTCGCACTGTCCCAGTTGCATCACCTCCACGTCTCACTCGTTGATCACTCTCTGTGTGTCTTTTCGTTCCTGTCCATGTCATTGTCTCTCTCCCTAGTCATCAAGCCATGCTGGACTACCTCGTCGGCATGGGCGAACGGTTCGCTGCCACAGCCGCTGCCTTTGAGAACGAAGCAGACGTGACCAAGTCCAGTGATGGCAAACACGCCGGTCTGCTGGAGAAAAAGTGGACGTCCGTCATTCGCTTGCAGCGCAAAGTCATGGAACTCGAGACGAAAGTGGCGCAGCTGGAAGAGACGGCGAAACTGGGCGGCGTCTTGAGTCGCAGGGACGTGCTCGGGGCCCGTCAGCGAGCAGAGTTTCTACCACGAGTGCCTGCCAAGCTCACGCTGACGGGGCACCGCTCGCCCATCACCTGCGTGGCTTTCCACCCCGTGTTCAGTGTGTTGGCTTCAGCCAGTGAAGACGCGACGGTCAAGGTCTGGGATTTTGAGACGGGCGACTACGAACGCACGCTGAAAGGCCATACGAATCCCGTGCAGGCCGTGGCTTTTAATGGATCGGGCTCGTTGCTAGCGTCGACGTCAACGGATTTGTCAGTAAAGATCTGGGACTTTTCCAGTGATGGCGACTACGAGTGTCTAAGGACGCTGCGTGGCCACGACCATAACGTCTGCGGGGTCGTGTTTGCACCGGACTTGGCAAGTGATCGACTGTACTCGTGCTCGCGTGATAATACGATCAAGGTGTGGGAGCTGTCGACCGGCTATTGTGTCAACACACTCAACGGCGGCCACAGTGACTGGGTGCGCGATGTTGCCGTGAGTGATGATGGACTGTACTTGGCATCGTGCGGCAATGATCGCTCGATTCTCTTCTGGGACTTACAACACATGCGTATCGTGCAGTCTATTCGAGAGCACGAGCACGTTGTAGAGACTGTTGTTTTTGCCAAGACAGGGATTCAAGAACAGGTGATCGGACGGGCACACGCCAAAAAGCTTGCAGCTTCAGGAGCCTTCACGCCGGCTAGCGAAAACAGTTCTCACGAGTACAACAGTCACGAGATGACTAGCAGCACTGCAGGGGAGCCGTCTGGGGCGGTTATCAGCACCGCTGCTTCTAGCAATCATCGCGTGAAGTTTCTCCTGTCTGGGTCGCGTGATCGCACAGTACGTCTTTGGGAAGCCTTCAGTGGCATACAACTCATGCTCTTCACGAGCCACGAGAACTGGGTGCGTGAGGTTCGCTTTCACCCTAGCGGAAAGTATGCACTCAGTGCAGGTGAAGACAAGACTATTCGCGTCTTCGACATTGAGGTAAGACAGCCTCGTGTTTGTACAAGTCCTTAGTTCATGGTTCATAACAGTTCTAACGATTGTTCTGCAACTCTATTTGTCAAGTCTGGTCGCTGCGTACGAACGCTGGATGAGGCTCACAGCCATTTCGTGACATGTCTTGACGTCCACCCAAGCCTTCCGCTGATTGTTTCAGGTGGCATTGACAAAATTATCAACGTGTGGGAATGTGTGTAAAGGTCGAAGCAGTGACAGCCGTACCATTCAGGTTTGGCTAGCTATCGATTACAAGCGAAGCTGATGACGTGGGCGCCACGTATTACGGCAAAGTCGGCAGCTCTTTGTTGCCTGCTTTGTCCTACCGTTGCAAGGATCGGCAAAGTATCAGCGAAGCAGTTTGGAATGTGGTTATGCGTGTTAGCAGACCAATCTGCTTGCAGGTAAGGTTGATACAAATTAGACAGCGTAGAGAATGTGGATGGGAAGTGGTACCCTCCTTTCCTAGTGTGCCACGGGTCAGGTCGCTTGGATCATACGGGTGGTTCCACGGGGTTTCGGGGCTCCAGTTATGACCTTTAGCGACCAGAGGACGACAATCAGGAATCGACAAGTTTCAATGTACACAGCCAGTGAATTCGCTGTCGTCGCTGTGTCTATCAATATCAACAGCAGTCAAGCAAGACAAATCACAAATCGACGCCATTCCCACTTCTCATCAAATGACGTATTACCACGACTTAAATTCAGCCTACCAAATGACTAGCCCCCTCGTCCTTGTATTCAAATTCTCCACATTGTGGTCAAGCTTCAAGCACTGCACGTAAGTAAAGGCGCGTCAAGCAGAAAGTGACTGCATCTCCACAGCGGCCACACGAAACCACAGCAGACAGAAGTGCAGCCATAACGACCGTCAGCACTCTACCACCACCACCCATCATCTGCTCTGCTCTCCCGATTGCCCTGTCGATACGCTCCGCCGCATCTCACTCGCCACACTCTGCAGTACAAGCAACCGTGGCACGCCCATCTATCTCAGACGGCGAGCCTCACGCTCCCACTCGAGCAGGCACAGGATGTCTCCCTCCCGCACGGGGCCCTTGACATTGCGGATGATCTTGCGCTTGTCATCCTGCAGGAACTCGACGCGCACTTGGGTCACGTTGCCCGTGTTGCCCGTGCGTCCGAGGACGTTCACGACCTTTGCCAGCATGTAGTCACGAGGGGCGTCCTGGAACAAGACAGAAGAGCATCTCCAGTTAGTTCTTCTTCTTCTTAGTCATATTATTATTGTTATTATTATCATCCAGCAAGAGGTTGACCAGCGCTTTGGCCAGTCGTTGCTCGCTCTAGGAGCGTCCGTTGCAGGAGGTTAAAGTCGGAGAAGAAGCAGACGCGTCTCCTGAGGACGCTCGTGTATTTTATACATTCATACGACAAGCATGTGCACAGCACTGGCGCTTACCATTTTTTTACGTTAAGCGTCGATGAGGTAGTGTACTCGGTTGCGAGGAATGGTGCACCTGCCTCGGTTGCAAGTCGCGCTTAAATTTGCAGGATTACGTGATTGGAGAGTCGAGCGACCTCTTGACTGTAATAATTGATGGTGTGGCCACCAGTGTGGGAAGAATGACGACACTAATGTATTTAATGTATGATGAGTCAACTCGACGTCCTGCCAACTTCGATCAGCTAAAAATAGACCCTCTTTGGGAGAATAATGGTGTCGAATACGTGGACTTGACGCGACATTTCAGCCAATACTTTGATCGCTTTGCCAGTCTGTCTATAATTTAAGCGGGCTTAAGCAGGACTGGTATGGACCAACCACTCTTCAGACGGTCTCGTCACTATCCTCCCCTGACAGAGTGACAGAGCAAGTTGAAGAGATCCCCTACGTGTCGTCAGCATCAGCTTTCGACATGTAGCAGCAGCAGCAAGTCACGGATCCGTAACTTTATAATGCTTTCTATTGTGAGCTTAAGTCAAAGTGACTTTGAAAAGTGTGTCGATTCCGAAACGCTTCAGGTGCAATTATGGACGCCAGGCTTTCGGGTACAAGCGCATTAGACACCATGGCTTGTACTGCCCTTCACTACTATTAGTTATATTATAAAGACAACGCTATTGTCGATGTAAGCCTCATCATACAGAATGGCGATGACTTTATTGGCTGGCGCCTTGCGCTCGTGTTCAAGGGCCTAGTTTTCAAATTGACGGTACGATGGCGGCTCATAAGCAGGTCGATGCCAGTCGTCGAGAATCTTTCGAAGTGATAAGGGTACTGGTGCTCTGATGCGTTTTGCAGCATATTCGTTCGCGTAGCATTATGACGGTCAGGGTAATAGTAGGGGACTGACTGACTTGATGAGCTTAGACGCAGACGCCAAAGCGCTGAGTTTCAGGATAGTCGAGATCGGACTGCATACTGCTTCGATCCACTGGCACGACTTTGCCAACTCCACAAGACTTCTTGTGACATTGATCGAGATTCCATGAGTCGTCCTCTCGAGAATCACGCTTACGCCAAAATGTATCGACGAGGCTTTGTGCCTGTTGCTTATCATTCCGAAATGGAACGTGGCTTTCGTCGTCGCTTATCCTGTGTCAACCTGGCCGCATAGATTGACCGTTGCTGACACATGATGTGACATGGGTAAGTCATGATGATGGCCCTTGCTTGCTAAGTGAGGTTGGTGTTCCTTCGAGGTAATCAGAACGTGGTCTTGTGAAATGTGCGATGTACGTAAAGAGTTGCAGGCAGTCCAACTTTGTAAAGCTAACGCAAACAGCTAATTAGCTACGTGGCTTGGTCTGTAGGATGTACAACCTGCTTGCTGACATGCACTTGTATCCTAGCTTCTGACAAGGAAATGGACAAATCAATAGCACAGATTGAGCACAACAACCCATATGATACACGATTGCGGTACTCATTGACAGCCAAATTAGCTCCGTTTGCCCACAGTTGGAATATGCAAAGCCAGAGACGTGAGGTAGCTATGTCAGCTTTTGCCTTCAGGCAGCAAGAATCAACACGTAGAACAATTTCTGCACATGGTTTGTCCGGACTATCCATGACGAAAAAGGAGAGGACATCTATCGCCTAACAACTGCAAACAACATCATTCCCGACAAGCAATCGAAGGCTGCAAAGAGTTCATAGCGCCAGGTCGTTTGCAAACGACAGAGCTTGACTCAATATTTTCATTCTAAAGCGCTTTGTCAGCCGCGTAGGTATCTTTATTCGAGCTGTTTGGGACTCCGTATGCTGCTCCTTTCAAGACACACGATGGCATCATGACAAGGCTGGAGAGAGGTGTTGATCGCGAACATTTTTCAATGGTCGTTCATCTTTGTCATTTCTTAAAAAACAGGAGACAGACCAGTGGACGTGTCTGCTGACAATAACACCGAGTACTCTTCGACTACCGCACGCCCATTTGCAGTCGCAGAGTGGTTTCTAGACCTTCCATCACGTCGCTGATGAACTAGAAGGTCTACATGGAGTGCGTCGACGGCAAGTACTGGGCTGTAGCTCCTGGCAACATGATACAAACAGAAGAGCAGTCGTTCTGGGCGGAAAAAACTTGCTTCACGTCAGCTGCATCTTCTTTTGGAATTCCTGCGTCAGCTCATCCAGCGTCACGTCCGGATTGGCCTGGAAAAAGTCTAAAAACGCCTGTGCGCCAGCAGTTCTCGCTGCATTCACATCTCCCTTCTCGCCTGCCTTGTACACCACGTTCTCAGCCTCGAGCTGCAGCTCCTTCTTGTCATAGTACTCGGGGTCCGCCACGCGTTTCATCAGATTCAGAAACTGCTCGTACTCGCAGCAAGAGAGCAAGATCTGCACGAAAAAGCTCAGTCTCGTGTGTCGCTGCCGCTCCTCGGAGAGCGCAATCTCCTCGTCGCACCGCGTGCAGTATTGCTCCATCGTAAAGCCTCTCGCCGCCAGAAACGCCTCAATGTGGGCATTTGCCGTGTCGATAAAAGCCTCGTGCAGCTCCTTCCACGACCTAAGAATCGCAACAGCACCAATTGCAAAAGATAAACAGACGAGACAGCCCCGTTAATGGCCATGCAAATGTAACACCAACCACAAAAGAGGTACAGCAAAAGGACGGCGTGGCACGCACAGTTCGACCTTGTCCAGGTCGGCCGCACAGGGTCCTCCCTTTGTGAGGAGAATGGAGAAGTGGCTCGCGTGGGCGCCACAGAAATTGTCGATCGCTTCTTGAAAGTCTTCGCTCCCGACGTAGGCGGCGACCCACTCGAGGACGTCGTCGCCTGGCTCCATGTCCTTGACGAGCGGCGTCTCGTAGCGCAAGAGCAGGTCGATGGCGTCAAACATGGCCATACTTAGTGCGAATGTGACAATGTGAGTGACTCTGTATCAATTAAGAGAGACTTGAGGGTACGTCGTGCGAGTCGGATAGTGAACGAAAAGACGTTTTGTCTCTTCTTGGCGGTGAGTGGACTTGTGTTTTGTATGCTGGCATACAAAACGGCTGATAGTTGGAAAAATAGATACATCGAGCACGTCGAAAGGCGAGACGACGACGGTCGCGGGGCAGATTCGAGCTATGCTATTTGAGAGGGAGTTCAGCACATAGACAGACCGTGCGACAACAGCAGAGCATCGAGAATGTGGAAACTCGAAAAGAGACCGACATTCTCCCTGTCGAATGTCGCCACACATGGTTCTCTACCTGTTGGAATGAAATGCCCACTTGACGCACAGGATGTAGCCATCGCTGCTTGAGAAACGACGCCTAGATTGTTTGCATCGTCCGGGACGGGTTTGGACTGGATAGCTACTTGGCTATGCGTAAAAAGATCCTATCTAGCAATGCTGTTTTTTTTTAAATAACGTCACTAGCACCAGAGCACCGTACACTATATTAGCGATGCTGCTCGGAAACAAGACCCGGGTGTGCGTCGTCATGCAATCCAGCCATATTGTCAGCAGATTGAGATGTGCTGTGATTCGTGTACTTTAAAGCACATCCGTCTTGGTAAACATGCCTCTTTAGCTGTTCGTCCCCAAGGTCCACATCGACTTCTAACTTTTCTTAACTGTGTAATCCTTTCATGGTATGAACATAAAAAAACAACGTTGTCCATCGACCGGATCCGTTTAGCTTCCCCCTTATTCTCTTTTCCATCGTACTCGACTTTCCAGTCTCATGTGCTATAGCGCAAATAATTAATTGGTGCGCGAAGGTCGTAAAATACGCTTTTCTACAGCTCAATGTGCGGATAAAAGGTGCGTGGAAAAGCTGAAAGCGCACACTATCGAGCTCATGCAATTGTTGATCCCATGGACAAATGGGCGTAAGCGGCTTGACACATTTATCTTGAGATGGAGAAGCAAGCTCTGGGGCTTGTCTTTTGATACAGCTGATCCAGTGTTGGATGGTCATGTACCCATTTCGGATGATCAGGGCTCGCAATTGGGTTGTGCGTACGTTGTGAGGTGTAATGACCACAGTGTTGCCGTAGTTGTTTGATAATGAAAGAGCTCGTTCTTTTGCTGATGTATGTGGTAAGAAGAACAAGAGAAGAAGAAGAAGATGACGGTTAATCTTTCATGCGAAATTAACAACGAAGTGTGACTAATGACATGAAATATTTGATAAGAAAGAAAGGGTTGAGGAGCTCCTTCTTCTACTGAGCGAGGAGGATGCATCTCCATTTACGTGAACTATTGTTCTTAAAACTACGACGGAAGATGAAAGTGTTGCATGTCAATGTTGTCTCGTCAATGCTACTCCATCTTCATGTCTCTAAGCCTACTCATCACTTTTACCTCGCTCCATCATTACATCGACTAATAATTGATTAGAGCAACGTGCACTGATGATCTTTCTGCGGTATCGTAGGGATGTGGTGCTCAGCAATGAGTCGTAGAGCAGTATGCGAGATTGGTGCTATCATCGTGGTTCCCAACACTCGACAGCTTCACAACTAAAAACTCAGTCCATGGTTGTCGACCGTCATGGCGCAACATTCGATCCATATCAAATCGAGTTGAGACTTTCATGCGAGCACTAGGTCACCAACACGACAATGTCCACCACTTGTTGACCTATCAAGTCGCACTCCGTGACCTCACCAAAACAATGACATCTACTCTGTCAACCAACTCAAACCTCCCGTTCCCCCAACATGTATCCTACCGGTATCAACCTTAATACCGGTACACACACGGTACGCTCTTCCTCACCTCCTGCCAACAAAATGTCGACGCCAAGCTCGCGGCCGTCCAGTACCGCTATTGATGACCTCCAGGACGAGACCCGCGAGTCGCGCACGTCCCCTCCTGCCGGCCCCATCACGATACCGCTCTCTCCAGTGCAGGACAGCAGCAACAACAGCGAAGACAGAGACGACGACGACCTCCTCCAGTCCTCGTCAACCGCGACGCTGCTGTCCCTCACGAACTCGATCCGTGGCGAACGTCCACTGCCGTCTCTCCACTCCCCGCTCGTGTTCCGTGACGTCCCGTTCTCCGTGACGTTCCTGCTGCATTTGGTGGTGCTGCTGCTGCTCACGGACCGACTCCGCTCGGACCAGGAGCGACGGAACGACCGCAGCGAAGTTGTCGGTGAGCTGCTGGACGACGAAGTGAGCCGGACTTTGGCTTCTGAAGAAGTCGTTGTGGCTCTGCACTCGCTCTGCCTTGTCAACTTGCTCTTTGCGCTGGGCTGGCTGCTTTCGTTTGTCTTTTATTCCAAGCGGCACTTTGTCCAAGGCTCGTGGGTACTGAACATCGTCGGGCTCTCTGCACTCGCTCTGTTCCTGCTCTTTTTACTGGACTTGAGCTATGCTCTCGTCTGGGGCATTCTATGTGTGGCGATTGTAGGGCTTGACTTGGTCTAGTACGTGCGCTGTAACGGTGGCCTGGACTTTGTCGCAGTGTTCTTTGACCTTGTTGTGGAGCTCCTTGTGACGCACCCGGTGCTTGGGTATGTTACATGTACGACATTGGCAGTGTATACTGTTTGGGCTAGTTGGGTCTGCACGACGATCGGGTATGTCCAGCACGAGCTGTCGCTCTGGAGCTTTTCCATCATGTACCTCGCCTTCCACTTTTACTGGACGTCAAATGTATTGAAGAACATTCTCACTGTTGTTGCATCGGGCACGACCATGATCTGGTACTACCAAAATGAGCCAAGCGACGTATTGGCTGCGACAGACAGTTGCGAGAGCGTCGCAGACCGCGACGCTTCTCGTGTAGAGACATCTGACCATGCACAGCAAGATTTGATGATTGGCAACCTCGACCGCAAGGTCGTACTGCACTACGCGCGGTGTGCATTGTCGAGTTCGTTTGGATCAATTTGCATCGGCTCTTTGCTGTGTTCTTTAGGACACCTTGTGTGGATTGCTCTACGCTGGGCTCGGCGAGACGAGTCAGTTCTGTCACGATGGTTAATGTTGCTACGCTCGGAACGAGTTGAGCACTTTATTCGCACGTACCACAAGTACTCTTTTGTCCACATTGCGGGCTATAACAAGCCGTACTACGTGGCAGCACACGATTCATGGGAATTGATTGAATACTACGGCGTGGAAGCAATTGTAGACGACGATCTGACCAGTCGCATCTTACTGTTTGCTAGCAATGGCTGGGCCGGCGTCATGAGCACGCTGACTGCGCTAGCACTGTCCAATGCTTCGACACACGCTACTTTCTGTACACTGGTGTCATTCACACTTTGCTACACGACTATTTCGTTGGCTTCACAAGTGATTGCAGCGGTCATTAAGACGCTGTTTGTTTGCTTTGCCGAGAATCCGGAACGACTTAGTCAGCTGCACCCACTTATTTACCACCGGTTTGTGCGACTTACTGAGCTCAAGAGCTTTCACGACCACAGGGCATCCGCCTACTGTCGTCCGTAGCATAACTATCGTAAACAAATGCGACTAATAATCGAACACGAGAGTACGCGGCAGGCGCTGTAGAGAGTTTGAGTACGTTCAAGTGAACATATTTTGTAGTCAAATTTGGTAATGAAATAGGATCTAAAGTTTAGATGAAGCCATTCGACTTTGTTTTGGATCATTCTTCGAGTCGCACAGGAAAAGACACCATTGTATGAAGAACAGCCTTTTACTCGCTGTGATGGCACTGTCGGCCACGGGAACATGCCTCGTGCCAATTTTTGGTCTGCTCTTTCAATTGCAGCCGCAAGTCATGCAAGGACTACACGTCCGCACCAGCGGGGCAGCCTATAATTGCTATGTTGTAGGCGTCATGTACGCCGCTGTATTCTTGATGTGCGGTCTCGTTACTCGCAATTGCTTGTGCACCAAGCAAGAAAAGCCTCAGTGCACCGGATTAAGAAGAAACGAGCGCTACAATCTCTCGTTCGTAGGGCTGGAGAGCAAAGAGTTTTCTCGAGCCATGGACGCGATGGACAGAAATGGCGACTGCCGTACTTGAGTTTCCCACCAAGTTCCACTGTTGCAACTGTAGTGCAGCTGAGCTGAAGCGGTCGTGTCCACTTACAATGAGAAGGCACACCCATTGTTCGACGTAGCAAGTAACGGAGCGAATAACCGGTAAGGTTAAAGCTCTTGTAAGCGTGTCAAGAGCGTACAAAGTCAACGAAACTACAACATCACATGATCCGGAAGGAAGAGCGTTCAGGCCTAATATGAAGATTATGCGGTGCTTTTACGCTCGCGTTCATCTTTGATAACCCAAAAGCAACTATGAACACATGTTCTTGCATTCATGCTACAGCATGTGTTGCTGGTGGTGCTCGATATTAAGTTATTTTTGAAATGTACTATCATTTAATATGAATTAAATGCTGTAATTGATTTTTATTTAACAAATGTCAGATTACTCAAAGTGGCCGTCAGCTCGTGATTTCGTGCCATTTTTATTGTTAGATCATAAAAGACCTTCCTCCATATGGCCTCTTCAAAATTGTCGCCCACGTACGGATCCAGAATGGCTCCTGCGCTGTCGGCTATTCGAAACTCGCCTTGCCCAATATCGTCGTCTTCCTCGTCTTCCTGCTCCTTCTCGGCTAAGTGCTGCATGCGCCGCTCTTCTTCACCTTTGCCGGTCGTGGCAGGCACCGTCTTGTAAGGATTGAAACGCCTCTGCAGGCCAACGAACGTTTCAGCTGCACCGAGTCTTAGGCGATGGTGACCTGTTTCTCGCATTTGCCAAGCCCAAGACGGACACGCTGCTTAGTGTGCACTCGATTGTTCGTTTTGTGTTTTTTCAAGCCACCTACGTCACCACCCGGGTTGCTATGCGTTTGGGCGAGCACATTGGTTGTAACGGGGCACCCTGAAGCTTGTACTGGTGACAGTACAAGCTACTTATTCTGATGACAGAATAAGGCGGTGCCTCGGAACTTCACGTACACTCGTACGTGCAAAGGAAGACGGTAAGAAGAAGCGAGTACTTGGTTAAAGCAAAAAGTAGAACTGTATTTATCGTCGTTAATGTCTGTTAATAAACCACTGTTTATCCTCATCTAACAATGTCTAAATACAAATGTGTAAATCAACTATCTGCTCACCACTCATTGCGTGCGTCTGTCGTGGCGCGTCTTCGTTGGTTGATATAATGGCCTATATCAACCAATTAGGAACTACTCGTAAGTGCTGCAGAAGATTTGTCCTTATGACAATATTCTGAGAATATAACTCTTATAGTTATATTCTATTAACAATTTCTTATAAATTGTTATGCAACGATTCATCCCGTTACATCACCCCCCCTTAACCATCAGTCACTTTAGTGACTGATTGACTAAATCGATACTCGTCCCAAATCATTTGGGACAGGGTTTGCACTTGTTGGTCCGTTTCCACAGTCCATCAGTTTCATCGCATGGATAACAAGCCCATGCGGTGCGCGAACAAGGCCGCAGAGAGCGCGTCTGCACGTCTCTGTGCAGACGCCGAAGCAGAAACCGCTGCAACCGATGTGTCATCGGTTGCTAAAGCGTCTCAGCCTGTATCACCTGGTGATGCACGCGCTCGTCATGAAGACACTCATGTCTTCACTGAGTATGAGCTCGGTGTCTCATACTCTCCTAATACGGAAGACGGATCCGTATCGACGGCGATCGAATCCAAGCCGCCTGCCAAGCGTGGCATGGATGATGCTACGCGTCGTAGCATCTTTGGTTCATCTGATGAATCAGATGAACCATCGCCGAAGCGAAGGCGCTCGTGGTCGCGAGACTCGGGCGCTCACAGTGGGTGTCGGTTCTCCTCTTGACACCACTTCGCAGCGAGGTACCAGTACTTCTGTCGGCACGTCGCAGGAAGAGCGGGACCGCAGTATGTTGCGTCTCGCTCCTGAGAAGAAGGCATGGATGCCTCCTAAATCTGTCATGGATCACTTGTCGGCGACGACGAGTGATCGTTATCGAACACGATTGTTCGATTCTTCAAGGATCCATCACCTTGACCCCAGCGCGAAGAACTATCGCGCTGAGAATGAATTCTTCATCGATGCTTTCTTTAGGCATCGATGGTACAGTGGGAATCACAAGCGTGATGGTCCCTCCCTGCTTCAGGCGTGGAACGCCTACATCCATAACCTTGAGGATGTAGGTCGTGACGTTTGGAACGACAAACTTATCAAAGCTCGTGATAAGTTTGAAAAGCGAACCCCGACAGGTGCACGCTATAAGCTGCATCGTCTGTCAAAGGAGGGTGGGTTAATTTGTCTTTACTGGGGAGACCCGTGCCCATGTTGTGTGAACAACTCTGCACGAGCACCTAAAATGGCTTACCTCCTTACTAGCCCGTGGTGGCGCGTACGTATCTCTAGTGAGATGTACGAAGGGATTGACAACCTGAAATCCCTTTACGACCGTGCCGGGGAGACTTTCTCCGGTGGTCCTTCTGCGGCACAGGATGTGCCGCGTCGTAATGCTCAACCAGACCCAGTACGTCGATCATCAGTTGGGAGCGGGGCTCCTAAGTTTTCCAGGACGGGGGATAACCGCGCCACCGGACGAGATAACTCGTCCGACGTCCGTTCATATCGCGTTGATTTAACAGCCGCTTAGATAGCGCTGACCATCGCGAGAGTCCTCCAAAGGAGGTGGAGGAGGATGGAAAACGCTCTCCACACAATCGTGGGGGAGTGTGTGTCCCCGAGAGCCTCTTTGATCGCGTAACGCAAGGGTTACGCAACGATCTCGAACATGAGCGGAATAGGCGTCTCCAAATGGCGGACACTGCCTCGAAGCATCGAGCTGAGTTTGCCTTTGCTCAGCTCGAGGACGAGAGATCTCTGACATCTCTTCGTGACGAGCTAAGGGTAGCTCGTGGGATTGTTGATCGGTCTCGGGCTGAGATAACTGCTCTTCAGACCCTTGTTGATGCCCACCATCGGGAGCACAAGGCTCTCTGCGAGATGCTTGAGCGCAAGGGCGTTCTTCATCGGAAGAAGCAGCGTACTGATGGTACGGCTTAAGCCGACCAACGTAAAACGTGGGATGCGTTCGCATCTTACGTGGTAACTCGATCGTGTATGCAATGCCTAGGCGGTGCAATACACGAAATGGGCCAATGTACTTGGGTAGTAGTTTACTGCTACCCAAGTTAGTCACTACATGCTTTGGTAGATTAACCGTAGACAGTAGGACTAAGTCACCTTTATTAAATAAAAGAGTGTTTGCCCTTCCATTCTTGTCTGCGTTTTGCTTTTGCTTATCCACCGCTTCGGCGATGGAGTCTTGCACAGAACGGACTACCGTTTCACGAGCCAGTATGAATTCATCTGATGACTCGTTAGCTTCAGTGCGCTGTGAGCGCATTGCAGCAACATCAATCTTTTTTGCAGTGAGGGCTTCCGCACTCTCACTGGCATCATCGTCTTCGATATCGATGTTATCAATATCGGCATCAAACGCAATGACCTCTTCGTCCGAGCGTGATGAGCGTGAACCTAATCGGTTTTTACTCGCGCGAGTCTCTCCCCCCCTTACACCAGAGTTACACTCTAGTAAGGTGGGTACACGCGTATGGCGCAAGCCATTCACTTAAAACGGTGTATGTGTCGTGGACGCATGCACCGAGTTGTTGATGGCAAACTCTACCATGGGCAAGAACTCACTCCAACTCTTAAAGGAGTGTACTTATCCTCGAAGTATCTCTTCAAGGACACGATTGGCTTGTTCCGTCTGACTATCTGACTCAGGGTGATTAGATGTCGACATCTTCAAGCGCGTTCCGAGTGATTTGAACACGGAGCGCCAGAAAGCAGCTGTAAAGCGTGGATCTCTGTCTGATACGAGTTCACGGGGCAACCCATGAGGTCGGAAGATGGTGTCAATAAAGACACGAGCACATCCACTTGCCGTGATTGACTCTGGTACAGCCACAAGGTGTACCATTTTGCTGAATCTGTCAACAAATACGAGAATACCCGTATTCCCGCGTGCGTCTTTGGGTAACCCGAAGACGAAATTTATTGAGATGGATTCCCAGCACTCTGCCGGAACTGGTAGAGGCTGTAAAGGTGCGCGCAGTGAAGGACTTGACTTCACTCGTTTACAGACTTCGCATGCGCGAACGTACTTTCGCACAAACTGATACTGGCGAGGCCAGTAAAAGTCTCGACTCACCGTGAGATTTGTTTTCTCCCGGCCACGATGTCCTCCTATAGAAGCATCGTGATACTCGAACATGATCCTCAAACGCAGATCAGTATCATCTGGAATGACAACACGTGGTGTGTCACCAGTAACGGCTGTATAATACAGTAAACCGTTGCGAGTAGAGTATCGATCTGATGCAGATCGATAAGCAGACGATAATCGTTTCAACGATTCTCGAGATGGTTGTGAGAGATAAGCCAACAACTTCACAATCTCACCATCTTGGGCGTATGCCCGCCTCACATCATCATACAACGTTGAAGATGGTATGATGGACGTCATAACCGCAACAGTGGCTGTCTCACGCTTGGGTTTCACGACTGGTTCAAAGTTGGGCCGACGTGAGAGTGCATCAGCGACGACATTAAGCCGTCCTGGTTTGTACTCAACCGTAAAGTTGTATTCTGCAAAGAATGACAACCACCGCGCCATTCGTTGTGAAAGGTGCGGGCTGTTTACTGCCGTGCGTAACGACGCATGGTCAGTGTAAACAATGAAGGGTCTATCTCCCAATAGATAGACTCTGAACTTCGCGAGTGCATCCTTCATGACAAGGAGTTCCTTGTCATGCACTCGATAGTTCCGCTCAGCTGGTTGCAGCTGACGCGACTGATAGCAGACGACGCGTTCAACGCCTTTAAGATCGTACTGCATCAATGCACAGCCTAATGCGAAATCGCTGGCATCACAGACCACATGAAATGGCCTCTCCTGATCGGCAATTGGTAAGACTGGGGATTGTATCAAGCTCTGCTTGATACCATCAAAGGAGCGTTGACATTCAGCGTTCCATAACCACCTCTCGTTCTTTTTTAGCAAACGAGAGAGGTGTACAGTCATCTCGGCGTAATTGCGTGAGTACATGTGCAAAGACGCCGCTAGCCCAAGAAATTTTCGAAGACCTTTGACATCAACCGGCACAGGCCAATCGGTGATCGCCTTGATCTTTTCGGGATCAGGACGTTCTTACCAACGATGCACCTAAGAAGTGGTAATTCGCTTGCTGCAAATATACACTTCTTGAGGTTTGCATACAATTGAAGCTTTTGCATGATTGTAAGAACCTGTCGGACTGGTACCTGTGAACCTCAACATCCGACTTTCCATCCATAGCCCGACTATGGATGAACACGTCATCGAAATAACTCGGCGCGAACTCTCGTACTGGTCTCAACAGATGTGATTCACATCTGTTGAACGTGGCAGGGGCATTACTAAGCCCTTGTGGCATTACTAGCCATTCCCAGAGCATGCCGCTAGGCGTGCTAACTGCGGTATAGGGTATGTCCCGTTCTCGCATAAGGATTTGATAGAAGCCATCCATGAAATCCATGGACGAAAAGATGGTACTCTTTGACATACCATCAATGATTACGTCCTTCCTCGGTATCGGCTTGTGAGCCGGTACCGTTGCAGCATTCAACTTGTTAAATGCATGCACGATCCGCCACCCCCCTGTTGCTTTTCGCACACAGAAGGTCGGAGAGCTATGTGGGGAAGTTGATTCCCTCACATGGCCCGCAGCTAAACGATCGACAAAGAACTTGTCGATCGCAAGTACTTTTCACGAGGCAGTGGCCACTGCTTCATGACACAGTACTTCGAGACTGGTTTAAGCTCGACCTCGTGTCGAATACCTTTATCCTTCGGTAACTCGCACGGAACAGTTTCAGGGAATACATCCTTGAATTCAACCAGATCTTCATAGAGAGGATTTGTCTTGAGCGATTCCCACGATTGGGAGTCATATCGCTCAACTCGTGTCTTTTCATCGAGGACGCTCTCGTCCATCGATAAACTATTGAGAACTATATCGTTCTCAGTAAACAATGTTGCTGGTCTTATGTCGGATACACACTCGTCGTCAGCGACGAGTACGCAGATCTGCTTGAATTTTCCACTACGCAGATCACGCAAGAACCTTTTATGTTCGAGCGTTGGCAACTGAGTGATCTCCGAAGTCAACTTCGGAGGCGCAATCAGATCAAGTGTATAAGCGCCTACACTTGATCCGTTATTGACTATGACATTCAATGTCTCTGTCATTTCCTGGAGACTTATTCCCTCAGGCTTCGAAGGACTTATTCCTTCGGCTTCCCGGGGACTTATTCCCGCGGGTTTCGGGGAACTTATTTCCGCCGTATTTGTAATATCGATACTTATTCCCTTACCTTCCTCTAGCTGTGGTTGCGCAACCACAGCGAGATCTTCTACGAAAGACTCTCCAGTCGATCTAGGATTATCGTTTCGCTTAACCTGAGCGATCGATTGTTTCTCTTCTAGATGTTCCCCGCTAGGGATACATCTTTGTCCCAGTCCACCCGACTTATTCGAGTGGTAGACCTTCGGCGCAGCCTGTGTTTCCTCACAGCCGCCGGAACTTTGCTCCGAAGTGTAACCGTTTGTTACACTAAGGTTTTGTGCAGTCGTACTAACGACCGTACCACAAGTGAGGCCATCGCACTCACTCTTAGTACATCCACACGCTTGTGGACGCTCCAAAACGTTCATCAGGTGGCCATCTGATGAACAAGCGGCAGGCATCGTTACTGTTCGATGTTGCCAGTTTACCCGTGGTTCGTACCTTCTGAGCCACGGTATTCCAAGGATGACATCAAATTTGTCATCTAAATATAATACGATAAAGTCATCGTCATATTGGGTATCTTCTAGCATATAGTGGATCTTCACTATACGCTTCATGACGGTTACGGATGCGCCTGTCGCAAGACATACCGTCATCCTCGTAGGAGGTGTGTCACACTCAACAAACTTGAAGTGACCATCTTCTAGCGATTGGCGTTGCACAAAATAGCTGGACGCCCCACGATCGACTAGAGCTCGAAGGGACAACTTATTCGTCACTTCGAGTTTAAAGGTAATGAGTGAGACCTCACTACCTAGAGCAGCAACGCACAACGTTTGTGTGTTGAGAGCAACCTTCATCAAGAGGCCTACAAATTCTTTTGACGTTGCTGGACCAGTAGGGTGCTCCGCACCTACTGATCCTGTCCGTTTTTTGACGGTCCATCCCGTTGTTGCGTCTTTGCACCAACTGCGGACCCTCTTCCCTGCCCCTTTCTCATGGGTGGACGTCACTACGCCCAGTGTTGCGAGACACTGGACGAGGGGCACTACACTCGTAAGCGTATTGTCCTGTCTTTTGACATCTGTTGCATCTCTGCAACCTCTTGTAGCCTGTAGAGCGAGCCTTCTCGCTCTCTACCTGACAAATTTCCATCGGCTCTGGACTTCCGCTGTCATATCGTCTCGGTTGACGATATGATGTCGAGCTGGCGCGAGCCTGTCTCAGACTGAAGTCTTCCTGCTCCGCAATGGAAATGGCTTGTTCTAGTGAATCTAGTTCAAGCCGGAACAGGTGAGTCTTGACGGGACCATCCGCAAGACCCCGCATGAACACCGAAACCAACGTGTGTTCATCTACCGGGTTGGAATTTATACAACTTGTGAGATGTCGTATATGCTGTGCGTAAGCGTGCACATCACGCTTACCCTGCTTGAGCTTCAAGAGTTCGGTTCGAGCTCTGAACTCAGCTCTAGGCGGTTCAAACGTTTGTCTGAGCCGCGACTTGAAGACTTCCAACGACCCAAACGCATATGGATCTTGCAACTTGAGCCCCAGTGCCCAAGTCTTGGCACGTCCTGCCAGATTTGACTGGGCAAATGCAACTTGCATATCCCCGTCGTCGATGCGACGCGCCCTTATGGCGTCATCCAATTCGACGAACCATCTCAATAGGGAGTCCTCTTCGACTCCCCTATACTTGGAGATGTCAATCTTCAAGGTCTCGGG